TCCCATCTTAGTATGACATAAAAACATGCGTGAGTTTCATTTAACTATAAATTCTTTTAAATTCTTTTACTATAGAATCATCAGATTCAGTCTTAATGACTCAATCAAATATCCAGCATAAATTTGTTTATTGCTATCACCAGGCAAACAATGAACCTTGCTGATTGAAACCATATCAGTGTCAGCCAGTTTTACAGCAAAATCTTGTAGCAAAAAGACTAAACTGTTTTGGGAAAAAATATCTTTAAAGTGCGAAAAATAGCAGATTTTAAGATCACATGATACTGTAAGAGAACATCATATACAGCATGACCTAGCTAACAATTTGAGGTTCATATGGAATTACATTCGTGATGTCCTCCACCTCTTCAGAAATGTCCAAACCTTTTTATTTCTTTTGTTAATATTTAAACAAAATTTTTAAAGTTGGGAGATGTTAGGGTTTTGTCTCACTCAATCAACTCATCAACCTTCACTACAGGAAAACTCTGTGTTAACACCTTGCTATATCCAAGGACAGGGCTAGGAAAAAATGCATCTTGTTTGAGGCGTAGTTCAATTCTAGCAATACATAGATATCTGTGGGAGACATCTTATTGGCTGGTTACTTGTTTCCTTTCCATTTTGTGATTGGTTAGATCAGTCAGTCTGCTCTTATTGGCTAATGAAGCGTTTAACATTTTTTGCCCGGAGAGGGATTAATTTGAGCATGCATGAATCAATCAAGGTGACTTTCATCGTTGTATGAGGTGGGTTTGGAGGCGGTGGGGTGCTATTGGATCGTCGGCTGGAAATCTTGATGTGACTTTCATGTGGGTTCAAGTCCCACGCTGAACAGACAAATATGATTGATGCTGCATTGTGTGTAAGTGCCCCCCTCCTCTCTGTTCTCGATGCAGGCTTAGGTTCAGGGGAAAACACTTCATTTCTCAGATTAAACGTTAACTGGAGGCCCCAAGTGTAAAAGAGTTGCCCCCATTCACATTTGTACGGTACACTTCTCGAAAAGAGAAGGTGCAAACCCAGTGTTTAGTGTGCCTGCAATACACAACTAGTAATATGCATACAGATTTTGGGGATAGGCTGATAGTCCTTTGAACATTTCTAAAAGAAGAAGGTTGAGGAGGTTGAGGAGGAGGAGGAGGAGGAGGAGGAGGAGGAGGAGGAGGAGGAGGAGGAGGAGGAGGAGGAGGAGGAGGAGGAGGAGGAGGAGGAGGAGGAGGAGGAGAGAGAGAGAGAGAGAGAGAGAGAGAGAGAGAGGGGGGGGGGGGGGTAAAAGGAGGAGGAGGGAAGATGATTGAATTGATAGATAAAGAGGAGGAGAAGGGAAAGGAGAAGGAGAAGGAAAAGAAGAAGTAACAGAAGAAGAAGGAGAAAACAATTCTTTCACATTAATCATACTAAAAATGAATAAAAAATACCTGCACACAAAGATTTGGGAAGAACCACCCCAACGGTTCATAACATAAAGAAGTTGGTATAGGAGAAGTACTGGTTATTAAAGGATTGATGCAGCTAATGTGATGTTATGTCTTTTATGGGAAGATAATTGTATCAATAGATAATCCCTTGATTGTTTCCTACATTCTTACCCAAGGATGACCAAGAAATATTCCAGAACACTTTTAAAACTTGTTTTGGCTCGTTTTCACATTTCCTAGCACATAACACTATAGCATCAATAGAGCAGCCACTAATCTGCTTTCACACCAGCTATGCCAACCGTCCCTTGATATATTTTCATGAAGTTGCCAAATTACCTGATGTATTTTTTAACAATATCCTATCATATACTAGGTCTGTTCACACTGCATTATATGTTATGATAGAGAGAGTCCATGGTATACTCAAGGTAACTGGGTTAATAAACATGAGTGCTGTCTACTCAACTGATTTAATCTATTAACACAATCTACCTGTAATCCTCTTAATTCCCTGTATGATGATAAAAGGACTGATTGATGTGTGATAAGCAAGGATAATCTGTCTACCATGTCACCGTTTGTTTAATAACTGTTAACAGTTAAATCAGTATGTCTATAGAATCATGAGGCGCTAATCCTTGAATTAAAGGCTGTCTTCACTCATTGAAGAATTCAGTCATTATATCCATTCATTTTGCATCACATGGGAGGTATCCCCAGTCTGGAGAGAGAAACATCTTTCTTTTTATAAGACCATTTAAACAAAAAAATCATGTTTAGCGTACCCGCCCACTTCCTTTTGGGGGGCCGCCTCCTATTTTTTTTCTTCTTTTTTCCAAGAATAAAAACATGAAAAAAACGTACTGCTAAAATGATTTATTTCTGATTTAAAAAAAAAAAAAAATGCTGGAAAAAAATAGTCCGACTGTCAGGGAAAATGTACCAAGCGGCCATTTTGGAAAAAAAAAAGAAAAAAGGGCCACCTCCTTCCTATTTTTCAAAAAGGCAGGATGCTAAACATGTTTTTTTTTTTTATAGATGGCCTAATGATATTGGTTATACTCAAAATATCTTTTTTCAACATGTCTAAATTGTCATCATGTCTAAATTTTCATATCATGTTGATAAAAGTGAATCCTAGTTTTCTTTACTGAAAAGTGTAAAGATATATTAAACCTGTGATTTAGGGTAACCCAAGTAAAGTAAGATTCTTAGTATACATGTCTGTTCAAAGGGGAAATGGGCATTCAATTCTTTTTTTCATTTCATTGTAGTAGCTTTTCTCCTGAGATGGAGGGAGTGTTGAAGTCATCGGATTCATTATACAGACATAAGACCAATGTTGACAATTCCTTCTCAAATTTTGGATGATAATCCCAAACCCAAATATGTACCCCTTTTACACCCATAACAGCAGTCTTATTTTTTCCCTAACTGCATTTCCGGAGATGGTTTGTAAAGCTATGTTCACATAAGCACATAACTAATCATGTGAAATCATTTCGTCCCTAGAAGTTATACCTTATAAAACTATTATATTGTTTGAATAACTATAAGTCCTCTAGAAAATCCCCAATTATAGAACTTTTGTTGACATTTCTCTGTGAAACTATCATAATCCATCTGATAGTGCATTGACATCAGATAAATATGTGTATTCTGGACTTTTTTCTGGTATTTCCATTGCTCAAATCATGTGCCACAAAACTTACCAAAGTGCCACATATTTTGATGATGGGACATTCATATTCTATTCACAGGGCTGTGCCAAGACTATTTGTGTTTTATATTGTATCATCTTGAACTTAGATTTGGAGGAATGTATTGTATGAGTGTTACGAGCCTCTCTTTCAGAATCACGTGAGGGTTACAAAGAGAAGTGATTATCACTGCATGTTTGGAGCTGAAACCTTAGCAGCCGCCTGACACTGTTCACATTTCCTCATGCCATTGTCATCCAACAAAACATAACCTTGCCGATATGCCGAAAAATTAATCCTGTTTTGAGAGTGGGATTTTTTTGTGTTCCCAACTCGTTTTTTCCCCTTGAGGTGTTTGAATATTTGGAATAGACGACTGACTTTCTTGTAGAATGTAATTGAGTTTTTGTTTAGGTTGGCTCGGGTAGTATTTACAGCAATAACAGACCAATCACGTTCATCATCAATTTTTATTATCCAAGGAAATATACACCATACTAGTAAAACAGGACAGTATTAATTCTTGTATCTACCTCAAAATATATATATGCAAGTTCAAATTTTGTTGTTTAAAGCTTGTGATATCTGCTAATGCTTGTGTTAAAAAAATAGCGTGTGAATGGGTTTTCATATATCAATACCAAATAATTACTTTGTTAACATAATTAACCAACTGCAATTGCTTGATTAGGCTTTACCTGAAAATAATCATGTCCAGGTGATAATTAATGAGTGGTAATCGTCATGGCATGCGTTATGTTCTTTTCATGATGTACTTTGTTCTTAAAATAGCTTCTTTTTATACCTCTACATGAGTACAGGTTTTATTTATGAATTACTGTATATATTGCATGTGGCTAGAGTATTCAAATACTATTCCTTCATCTTAATGGATTTAAGAAGAAAAAATTGAAAAATGTCATTATGAAAAAAACTATGTCAGCACAAAACTCTATAAAGACCTTATTTTTCATATCAAGAAAGAATAGAATTCAAAATTAATGTTACTCTAATTCCCTCTTTGGGAGACATATTTGTAGTCTCTGTACTATTTACTTATCTACTTATTTGTTGTTGTCAAGAGACAAGGCACTTAAAAGAACAGTAGATAAGCTCAATGAATGACAGCACAATCCATCTAAGAGGAAAATCAACAAATCTGTTTTTAAAGTGCCTTACGTCTTCATGAAATGTATATAATTCAGCACAAAAAGTAGCTATTCCCTCAACATAAAAGGGTACAAGTTTTCATTCGGATTTGTTTATATACCGGTAGTCGAAAATTGGTTCATTTGTAAATTGAAGGATTGATATTCCAAAATCATTAATGTATTTCTGTTACCACACTTATTATTTTCTTTTTGGACATTGAGTGGAATTTATACCTTGGACCAAACTCTCTGTGGATCTCTCTATGGTTGGTTGATCGGCTGCAGCCTTTCAATATGTTTTAACGAATGGATAAGTTATATAAGGGAGGACCAGGAATTTCTCCATAAGATTGTAAACTGCATGTGAGGTTGCTCAGATCGTTCTCAAACTTTTAATAGCAAATCTTTTTACTAATTAGATGATTACTGATTACAAATTCAATAATTAAGTATTCCCTATTATCCCCTCTCTCCATAGTTTGATGTATGTTAATGTTTAAGACTTTAAGCTATATGATAATAATTAGCTGTAATTGTTTGTTGCTGCATTGTTTGTAAAAGTTTCTATTAATGATTTCTGTATTGTACAGTGCTTTGGACTTTTGTTAACTTTTGAGAAGCGTATAACACTTTTCATCAACCGCTTCATATCTGAAGGGTGTTTAATCGATATAATTTGATTTAAAATATTTCAAATACTCTTTTTTTTTTTTTCTGTTCTGCAGGCATCATCATCACATGGAGATGAGCGTTGGACGGAGTGGAGTAGATGGAGTGAATGCTCAAGAACATGTGGAGGAGGAGCATCATATCAAACAAGACAATGTAACACTGGTCATACCTGTATGGGAAGATATATCAGATATAAGACATGTAACACACAGGTCAGTTCTCTCTCTTTATACTGAACTAATAATAATGATTGTCAGATTTGTATATGGTGTAATACTACCTTTCTATTAAAGTGCTTTACATTGTAATTATTACTACCCCAGTCATAGGAGTCAAATGCTAATTCACACATGATATTGCATACTTTCCTCTGGTGAACATTCCAGCCAGATGCCGTTTTACTAGTGCACATATATGCCAATCCAGTACATTAACATTCAAATCCTACCAGGTACCCATTTAACACCTGGATGGAGAGTGGCAAATATAGATTACCGTAATTAACGGTGTATTAACCGCACCTTTATGCCGCCGAAAAAAATTCGGCAATGTCTCCCAGCTCAGTAATCGGTGTGTTGACTGACCACTCGGAAACTAGAACAACACTCAAATTTGTCTGTCATCTTGGTTTGAAAGTAATCTTTCTGATAGATTTCGATATGTAGTTAATAATAATAATTCCTCCAATTTTTCTTCTAATACACGGCGTACCACAAGGTTCTATCCTAGGTCCTCTACTGTTTTTTAAGTTGGCAAAAAAAATAAAAAATTTTAGGGCGAAAAAGAGGGGTGTGGTTAATACACAAGGGCGGTTTATACACCGTTAATTACGGTAATGTCTTATCAGTTTTTATCGAAGCTCCTATGAAGACAAATCCTTGCCTTCTTGCAAAGTCTTGTAAAAAGAATTTTGAGAAGAGTGAATGTGGTGCTCATCGAAGATTATAGAGGTTTATCTATTTATTATCTATTCCGTTAAAGGTAAAGACCAGTTATGGTCATGCGATTGCATTGTGAAAGAAACATTGTGGAATCGATCAGAAAAGGTTGATCATCTAGCATATAAGTATTGGTGTGTACTGCAAGGTTCTGGAATCATCAAAATGATAAGAAATATGGCCCAGTCTTCGTAAAGTTACAAGCACTGCACACATGCGTGACACATGCGTTTATTTCTCACAGACCATGTAGATAAACTAATTTACCAAATATATCAATTAGTAGGCGGTTTCCCGGCAAACATTTTATCATCATGTATTAGTCAAAACATATTCTTTCACATGATTGGTAATAAGAGCTTCCATTTCATTTTTTTGAAATTGGGGCGTTTCCAAAACTGGTCTTTACCTTTAAAGTATTATGTACGAAAGTTTCAGAACTCTATTAAAGTTGTAATTGTTCTTAAATCAACAGGAATGTTCCGATGAGGAGTTGGATTTCAGATCACAGCAGTGTGCAGCATATAATGATGAGAAGTATGAAAACAGAACAATAGAATGGGAACCAGTAGAATCATCCTCATTACAAGAGATGTGCTCACTGGTATGCAGAGTCAAGCATCACAACTTTACTAAGATGCTGGCACCAAAAGTACTGGATGGGACTAGATGTAACAAATATACAGTAGATATGTGTATTGCTGGAAAGTGTGAGGTAAGTACAGATCATATCATTTTTCATCTTATATGTTCATGGTTTGACTTGAGCAATGCCATGATGTTCATAATACGGATATAATACAAATATATAGTTATATACTGTTTTTCCAATGGGCAATAATTTGGCAGCTCAGTGAGCTCTATGAACCTTGGACCTACTACAGAGTAGTTCCATGATGCAACAAAGTGTGCAAAAGAACTTTAACAACTAAAAATCTGAAATTTATTTTTGTTTTGTTCTTTTTAATTCTTAATGTACTAGAATAATACAATGTATGATTTTAGCATTGCCATCATTCATCATGTCCTATTCTATTGACTCATTTCCATGTATCAAGATGTACTGTTTTTGTTTACATATAAATATCTAATTCTGTAACTTTCCACGGAATAGAAGTAAATCCTGACCAAGGTAGACAAAAATAAATCATGTTGAAACATGGAAACAAACTTGACAATTAATATGCCTTTGTTTTTCTTCTAAAGAAAGGCATATTTCTTTATCTCGGAAGAAAAACAAAACCTTGATCTCTTCAAATGTATAGTTCTTGGTCAAGGTTTGTTATCTACAACATGGAAAATTACAGAATGAGAGATTTAGGCAAACAAAAACAATGCATGGTGATACGTGGAAATGGATCCATAGAATAAGGACATGGTGAGCTGCAATAATAAAATCATATATTGGAAAGTGAGCATCAGAGAGGAAAGCTCAACAAATTACACTAGCAGAATGTGTTTGGTCAAAATAGAAAAACATGCACCTGTGAAGTGTATCACATGCTTGTTTACAGTATATAGGAAACAGTTGGATAGAGTGTCATCTCTATGTACAATAGCTCACTCATTTCCTTACCATCCTGCCCATCCTGCCATTCAAGTATAGACAATCAGGGAGTGTTTTTTTGTTAACCCCCAAAATGATATTTATGTATCGATTTTGAGCGACTCAATTCATGTTTCTTGATTAGAGCTCTAAGACAAATGTTGTAAACATTGCATAAAGCTTGATATAAAAACAAACAATCAGGCTGTGTGATACAGGTCAACAAAAAAGATTTGCTTCATTACAATCATTAGACTTTTTGTGACTACTTACATTTTTCTGCAAATACCATTACATTTCATCAAGTAAGGGTGCTTTAAAAAACCTTTCATAAATTTTTAGGCATGCCCTTGCATTACATACAAGAAATTACCATCTTAAGAGCCAGAAGGGCAGTGACTCATATATTTTTATATAGAGTTGATGTCAAAATAATTGTGACACAATTGTTTGTTACTAAATCATGAATAAAGAGATTTCAATGTCTCCAAAGTTGCAGATTTTAACTTCACATTAACATTAACTGTTAACTTTTATGATATTGCAATGAACAGTTGATCCATACATTAGCTTGACTAATGCATTAAATACTCAAACAAATATTGTAGATATTTTAAGGTATATTTCAGGACAGTGTATAACATAATTTGACATTGAATCACTTCATAGCCATGAGAATTTCAATGTAAAGGCTCATTTTCACAGGCACTTGATTATTTCCTTTTCCTATTGTAATCATTTATGTCTGCTTCCATCATCTTTTGTTTTGAGATAATTTCCTGTAATGGGTAACGGGTTGACTCTAATAAGGGTGCGTCATTGGTATCTACATGTATTTATAACTGTGTTCCAACCATGATGGGATTATTTAGGGTTTTGTTCTAGTAGTGTCCTTACAATTTCCAAGGCTTGACAACAACAAAAATCTACCCCAAGGTCCCCAACATTTCTCTCACTAATAACTTTGTAGAAAAACTTTTTTTTAAATTCTTAGCTGAAGCAAGCATGTGAGTAATTTGGGAATCCGGATGATAAGGATATACCTTCGTTTCAAATGATCTTGTGATTACTGTATTCATTATCAAATTCATTATTGAAAGACCTTCAATTCAATTGTTTAATGCCATGATTCATAATTGGACTTCATGAAACCAAGAGTCAATGTGAATACAAAAATTGTTTTGAATCAAATCCTACAAATATATTGCAGAGATGGATTGACTGACACTTCTTTGTTTTTTCAACGTTTTATAGCAACTTTGTTTCACCTCTTTCACAGGATAATCATACAACAGGATAATATAATTCTAATGTGTGCGGACCCCTCTAGCTTACTTCATGACAAACTTTAAAACATAGGTATTATCACTATATGAACTTGAGTACGGTCTTGAGTACGGTCAAGTGGAAATGCTCTCCTCTAAAGACTATTTTACATTTGGCATCCATAAAAGGAAGGTATTTGTCTACTTCCTCTGTTTTCATGAGAATGTATTGACGAGTGCTTGATGTATTCAAGGTGCTCAATACTTTCTTTATGTCTGATAGTTTCCTGCATGGTCTAAATATGGGACCAGTCAATGTGATTTCCTTTGGCCTTTCACCCAATGAAATAGAGAAGGGTCAACTTTCACAATATTAATCCAAGACGTCATGCTTTACTGCTAAGACTGCCAATCATATATACTAATAAAGCAGAATATGAAAATCTTGTAAAATGCGGATGAACAGAAAAAATTCTACAAAATTTAAGGGTGGGGCGTATAACAGTCATTATATCAAACCATTACATGTACTCTGTATAATATTATATCAATTTTGATACATGAAGAAAATTGTTCTCATAATTGTCTTTAATTTGATATTTTGGACTACCAAAATTGCTTGAGAAATCTTTGCTATCAAACTTGGAAATTACACAAGCATCAATGAATAATGGCTCACAGCACACTCCAAACTCTTTTTTGCTTGTACTATTAGAGTTTATGCACATGTGTCTGTATTTAGAAAAAGATTAATTTCATGCAGAGTTATTGGACATTTTTATTGTTTCTAATTGTCTTGTCTTTGTCTGGAAATGGAAGTGCATGAAGTCTCAGAAGATTGCTTCTGCTCTGTTAGGATGGGGAATACCGTGTATGAGTCCTGGTCATGCTAGCTGTGCTCTCATTCACTCAGTTCATAATCAAGTGATTAAATCTGACATTTGTAGGTTCAAGAACCAGATCTCGGCAATTCATGTAGATTTTTACATAGCCCCCCCCCCTCCCCTCTCATTCAATCCACAGTTTGACTGTGATAGAAAAAGTGATAGAAAAAAATGGTACTCATTTGAAATGCCACATCATGTTAAATGTAGTATTTTACTTAACAAGTACATCTCAAAGCTGCAGAAGTTTGTATCAGTCTGCTTTGAGTTTTAAGTGGCATATTATTTAAGACAGACTTCATTTGACTAATGGTATTACAAAGTTTTGGTAAATTTTGAAAATTGGCTCAATAGTGATTCTTTACAATTTTAATATATCTGAATGGCCCTAGGGATGAATTGTAAGCACTACAAAATTTAGCCCCTAAAACACTTCTGCTTTCGAGAAAAATTTACAAATTTACCGGTGCTCCCGGTAAATTTTGATAAATTTCAAATAGCGCCTACGACCTACGATGGTAGCTGTGACCATGGAAATGTAGTTGTGATATATATATATTCCAAACGGTAATAAAATAGATAGATTTTATTCAAAGAACATTGTTTTATAGCTAAAATAATAAATTGACTATGAGAGGGTGCTATACAACATATAGAGTGTATTATTTACAATTTCAGCATTTTAGACTCTTTAGATTTTAACCGCGACAACGATCACTGAATATTGTAGGATCGCCTATACTTCCAATATGTTCATTTGAACCAAATTCATGACCCCATACCAAAACTTTGTATTACCTATAAGCTGTATTGTAACATGTCAGAGATCTAAATGTTCATAGTATTGTTCTATGAATCATATCACCACTACTGTCTTTAAAAGCTGTGTTCACCCAGGGAGAACAAATGTGATCATTTGTATCTTTTATGTAGGTAAATTAAAAACAACCTACATGTTTTTCCTAGAAATCTGCTATGTAAATGTTGAAAGAGGGAAAACAGAAAAGAATAAAAATGTTAGTGTATTAAGACCTTCCTAGGATTTTAAATATACCTAAGTTGTCCGTATTATGAGTGAGCATTAATAATAATGAGATGATAAATTAAAGCTATTAAAAGAGTCTTTTTACACAAGTGTGATGGTTTTTAGATATCTTGGTGTATTGAGAAATGTACTGTTGTCTTCAAAACCTGGAAATAGAGTTTTAAAGACCATTCAAACACAAATGGAGAAAATAACTGGTGTGGACACACCATAGAGTGAGGACTCTAATTGTGAGGTAATTACATCCTCTTTGAGTGAATTAACAACGCTCTGTGATTGAGTGTGAACAGAGAATAGGAGTATAGTGCCTCTTGACTACCTCATTTAAGACTCAATGCACAATTGATTCACTCATATCTCATTCAGAGTTAATCATATACTTGACATGATAATCCTCAAAATAGTGTGAAGTCATTCAATAAACAAAGTCTTATACAGAGACTTTGAGCCAAGCAATTGGAGATATCTCCTGCCTGAACTCTTGAAGCGTACCTCTCTCAGTAGGCCTGCCTTCATCAGATCGAAGTTGCTCATCACAAACTAGCTCGGACGGGCGCAGAGACCAAGATTTCTCGTGATATTTTCTCAACCAAATAGCCCGCTAATGGCAACTTTCGTGCTAATGGAGATGCAAAATAGCTGGCTAATTTGAGATTGGGCTAGTTAAAATAGCGGGTTATTTTGCATCTTTGGTCTGATGAAGTCAGGCCTAGTTTGAAGGTAGCCTTGGGGTTGGGATGCTCCTAGATATAAAGGTGTTTTTTTTTTTAAGCAGAGGATTATTTTACATATTAAAGTATGTGTTTCATTTTATTGAAGTCGCAGAGTAGTAGAAAGTGCAGCTAAAGCCAGAGAAAATAACACTTAAGGGTTAGAATGTAATTTTTTAGAATTTAAATGGTTGCTAAACGTATTGACATTTGTTATAAAATGCTCAATAAATACAATCATGAATAAAGTTTTATTGTGTACAAATCCTACACAGTGATGGAGGCAATCGCAAATTGAAACTGCTAAATTAATCTGGAATGTTTCTATTAAAAACAAAATCATCGCACTAAATAGCAGTGATGACAGGTTTTTTGAAGTTCATATCAGACTACTTTCAGGAACCATTCAAGAGGACAAAGCCAGTGACTGCAAATATTTTTGAAAATTATGGCTATGAAATTTTGCCTCTGGCACAAAATGTGGTGATTGAAAGTGATCCCGCAACAATGGTTATGAAATTGATATCCCTCTAAGAGAGTAAGTCGGTGGGGAGGTCAGTTGTTTTTTGTTAAAATGGATGTCAAAATTCAACTTCAAAGATTGTAGCTGAACTAGAATTTCATTCACAAGCTCTGCATTTTGCCGTAGGAAGGCATTTATAGAAGGGAAGCCTAGAAGCGGCTTTTCTAATTGCAACTTTGGCCATGATGGCATGACCACTGCAGTTTTGTCTCATTTCAACCTATCAAAGAATCAAATATTTATATGTAGAGTAATAGTAGGTCAAAAGTCATATGGTAAAAAGGTCAGTTGTTGTCTAATGTGTTACTGCAACTTAAGCTTTTTGTTTTAATCAAATATGTTCTTCATTCCCTAAGTGATGCCAATTCATAACTTGGAATACAAATTTCCATAGATTATTGAGGTTAAATTACAGGTCAATGGTCATGTATGTGTATTAAAACTGGATAAGGGTTGAGAATATTAAGGTTGAATTTTTAAATCACTCTTCATTAGTATAATTTAACAAAAATGGGTGATACTTTTAATTCATATGAAATGTATGATAAAGATCAGCTGAGGTCAGTTTTGAGGAAAATTAACTTTAAGAATTTCCAACAGTTTTTAAATTTAATTTTCATTATGACACATACAACCCTTGGAGGAAATATAATTTTCTTTCAGATTTTGGATTACCTTTGAAGTTCATGTATTCTTAGGAATTACCAATAGTAATTGGCCAATTGCTGCCCGACTTGACGTGAACTGTCAATCTGAGTGATTTTCTAGCCAAATATGCTTTTTTTTGGGGGGGGGGGGGGGCCAATATAGCTAGAATCTAGTGTGTATATTTTTTAAATTTTGTTTAAATACCTGAATGCTAATAAACTTATAAAGCATGTGTACTTGTAAGTAAGCAACCAGGGAACCATTGACATTAAGTCCTCTCCAAGGGACTGGGTAATGAGGATTAATGCCTTACCACAGGAGGGCACTGGTGCATTGCCTTGGTTTAGAACCCGGGACCTCCCGGTTATGAGACCACTGCTCTACCATTGAGCCCTAGCACATCCTGAACATGAAAAGACATTACACGTTCTCCATTTTCTTTTCTACTGAATAACAGGAAACCACAACACTTGTTAAAAGAAAAGTGAAATAGCTAGATCGATTGAGAGAGAGAGCATGTAAGAAAAGAAAGAAAGTTTGTTCTCCTAGGTGTAGTTTCTCTCCTGAGGCTGTGTAGAATGGTCTCTATATCAGAGACCAGCAACACCAATCCAACTATGTTTTCTTTTAATATTATCTCAGAAAACATTCCCTCTACTTGCTTGTGTTGAAGTACTGTTGAATGCATTTCAGGATACAGTGGGTTAAATGATGTTTTAAACAATGTAATAATAGTGAATTGAACACATTGTATGAATTTAATCTCACATCATTCCTTTATCTTGAATGATTTTCATGTGATTTTAGTCATGTAAAAGTGTATTTGTTTGTTAATGTACTTTCATGTCCCCTGATAACATACATGAATGACTTATGAGTTTGATTTAATAAAATTGAAGATATTGTTGACACTTAAACATATTAATATATTAAATATCTGCCATAAATTAGATTAATAATAAAAAAGTTTTACTGGTAATATTTTTTCTTTTTTCACCTACAGTCTGTTGGATGTGACCATGAATTCAACTCGACTGCAGTTTTTGATAGATGTAGGGTGTGTAATGGAGATAATACAACATGTCAATTAATGAAGGGACGCAGAGTGGTTGATCCAAGACAGTCAGGTAAGTGCTTTAATTTATCTGATGAATATGAATGTATCCCATTATTCCAATCAAATCATAAAGCAATTACTGATTCTCTGTACAGCAGCCGTATCAGTCTTCTCTCTTGTATAAAAAGTCTCACAGTGTAAAAATTATGCTTTGATGAATTTCTAGCCAGATCATAAAGCTACAAAAAAAAACAACAAGTAGAACGAATATGATTTTGTGATAGGTACTTGTTCTGAATGCTCATGAGTTTTGTTCATGTTGTGTATTGACTTGCATGGAATAAAATGAAACCTACTCTTTTATATAGTAACAGTATGATTTATCTGCCAGAACCATTGGACTGGAATCTTTGATTTGAAGGATCATAAATCAGTAAACTAATTTGGCAGTCAGATTAGCCCACCAGTGGTTACAAATGCTCATATTCAACTCTTGAATAACACCAAATAACAGTTAAAGGTCTACAAGGTAATAAGATGAAGTCTGCAACATTTCAAATAAGAATTTACAGAAACCAATTTGAAAGCCACGCAGGTAAAGAGGGGAACAAGGGTTGACAGCTCACAAATTACGGAAGCTAAATTTCCATATGATGAGAATTGGTTTGTAAAAGCATCATTCGTCAAGTTTGACATGAAGCCATTGTGTTGAGGTCAATCGAGGTCACTATCAGAAGTCTCAGTGAATAGGAAGCTCATTATATTTTATGTCCCTCTGTCATAAACTTCTCTATTACGATTCAATTACAGAGTCATAAAACATGTCTGAGATTATAGAGCATGGGTAATTTCACCTCTCCACTTTAATAAGAGTTGAGATGTAATGGGAACAAATGTAGGTATATTGAAGGTCATTGAGCGTTATAGCCCAACATAATTGAAAGATAATCTACAGTTCTAGTAAAGATTGAAATTGAATATTTTAAAGAATCAAACAAGATTGAGTGTTTTTGATGTTTTCGATGTTTTCAACTAAAAGTTAACTGGATAATTTGCCAAATGATTTAGTAGAAAAGGATACAACGGTTGTATATTGAGTGGTGAAAGAAAAGAAAATTGAGTCAGTCCTCCCAACAGATGTGCATGATCTCCTGTGTACAAATGTAGGTTGAATGTGCGATACACTGAATGAGATTTCAACCATGTTTTTGTTTGTGCATTTGATCCATGAAAAAAACCCACCTTCCCTGTGATAAAAAATTCAAATTTACTATCTGCTGAAATAGAATTCCATTACAAAGCTCTGTATTAGTAGGGCCATACTACAATTTATATTTTGTATAGATAGTCTCAGAGATGAATAGTAGAGTAGTAGACCTCTTGCCATTATGTCTCCTTAGATATCGAAAGTAGTGCAGGAGGCCATCATTCCATCTGTCAATCTCAGAAATAATTTGAGAGATGAACTTTAGACTTGCCATCAGGATATGTCAGAGTAGAACCAATTATATACAGAGTTAATCAGTTCAAAGGCCGATAAAGCCTCTCTTCATTTAAACTCATAGGCTACATTTCTGAACATCTTTTGTTCCATCATAACAAAAATTTGATAATAAAAAATTCTCATTTATTGTGTTTCTCACAACAGCCATACTTCTCATGTTATGCAAACTCCAAATTACTACTACTACTACTACTACTTCTACTACTACTACTACTACTACTACTACCACCACCACTACTTCTACTTCTACTACTACCACTTCTTCTACTACTTCTACTTCTACTACTTCTACTTCTACTTCTACTTCTTCTTCTTCTTCTTCTTCTTCTTCTTCTTCTTTCCCTTCTTCTTCTTCTTCTTCTTCTTCTTCTTCTTCTTCTTCTTCTTCTTCTTCTTCTTTCCCTTCTTCTTCTTCTTCTTCTTCTTCTTCTTTCCCTTCTTCTTCTTCTTCTTCTTCTTCTTCTTCTTCTTCTTCTTCTTCTTCTTCTTCTTCTTCTTCTTCTTCTTCTAGAATTTGTAACATTTCTTTTCATTTTCATTTATCTCAAGCTACAGATTGAACTCCATTAGAACCCAATTAGAACCCATATCCTGTGATATTATACTCTGCAATGTCCATTCAGATAAATCAAATTTATTCCCCTTTTGCTAAATTGTCAAATTTGCAGTTGTTGATGGTTTTGATCCATTTCAGCCATATATCATATGAAGAGGATACTATAGACTAGTGTCAGAAAGCCTGCCAATGGGGTCATGCTGGACACAAAAGATAGTATTGATGTTATTATTGTTTGATTATCATCATCATCATCATCATTGATGTCATTATTTTAAGCTGTTGGAATTCCTCTCTACCCTTTGCTCATCTAGAAATAAACATATTCACATTTACACGACTGTCTGTATGGGGGAATACAGACCACATCTTCTAATTAAACCATGTTCACATTTACACAACTGTCTGTAAGGGGGGATACAGACCACATCTTCACTTTAAACCATGTTCACATTGAGAAAACTGTCTGTAATTGGAATACAGACCACTGATCAGAATGGGGAATACAGTCCACAGCTTCAGATTAAACATGTTCACACTGAGAGACCTGTCTGTAAGGGGGAATACATCCCACTGCTTTACATTAAATCATGTTCACATGGACACAACAGTTTTGAAATATTCCTAGTGGTTATTCATTGGCTTTGACCTAGTTTTGACCTATTGCAATGTGCCTTCAGTACTTGGCCTATATTCTGTAATTGATTCATGTTTCTTGCGGTTTTGTGTTCTAGAAAGAAGACAAGTTACATTTCTATTTATTGAAGCTTTATATTGAAAGTAGTGGTCCATAATGTTAACAGAAACTTCTAAATGACCATATACTTCATATAAGTATTTTGTGAAGACATTGAAATATACAATACACTATGAATGATGTGCCCCTTAGAAGGTGCTGCATGCAGGGTATTATTTATTTTATTCTTTAGTAAATAATGAAAAGTGGTTGAATTTTGCATAGATGTATTGTAAAATGTAATATACAGTGTTGGAAAAAACTGATCTGGTATTTTATTGGTTTGACCTTACAATTCACAAATACTTGTTCAATCATTTTTCTTTTTTAACCTTGGAATAATGAAAAAGTCCTGAAGAAGAATAGAGTGTTTTATTCAGAAATAGCAATTATAAATCAAGACAAGTACCCCCACCTATGTTGATTACCGGTAGATTTGTAAGGTGATTGAAATGATCTAATCATTGATTTGGTCTTAGACTGTTGTATAAAAATATGATATGTTAAATATCTGAATAATTCTAATAACATTATTTTCATCATAATTTCTGCTCAGGGAATCGACTTCCTTTGATGAAGATGTTTGTGAAATGTTGTTCAGATTGTGATAGCTTGCAAGGGTTATTTAATACCAAATGGCTAATGACATTGTTGTAATACAATCAGTCCAGATGTAAGATTTTATGAACAGTTGAATTTTTGCTTGCCTACATTTTTAACTGAAGTTGTAATATATAATGGTTGCGTGATATGATCAAAACCTCATGCATGCAATGTCTGTGGCTTCCACAGTACCAGGAAAATTAAATTGTAGAGTCATGGAAGATTGCCCTTCACCATATCATCATTTTAATGACGGACTTGTAAGGAGGTCGTTGGTGGCGGGCTTTAGAACCGTGACCTTCACCCCGTTCCCACCCCGCTTATAGGTAAGCAAGGCTTAGTTTTTATGTGTGTTTAAATTGTTATATTTGATAATATTGTTACTATGTTTTGTTCATATCCTGGTTTAAACGAATTAGTATTATTATAAGGCTTACAAATATGTTCAAAGAACATGATATTTGTTAACAGAAAGGTGTAATTTAAGGCGATATTGTTGTTACGTAATGCTCAGAGGGTGTGACTTCTTAATGTACAAGTAGATTACACGTAGAGGAAATGGATGCGTAGGCTATGCCTGTACGGGTGGAATGCATTTGTGTGTACGGTCAATTAGGCCTTGGAGTGTGACTATTGTAGTCGGGAACTTGGGCGCTAATGACTATGTGTTAGGTTTTGGTGTAGAGAAACCTGATTAACGAAGAATTATGATCTTTTAAGTTTGATTAATTATGTTAGGAATTTGTATTTGATCCAGCTTATACACTTTGGGCATTTGCATTGTCTTAAATAAGTTAAAGTTATTGTTATTAACGATTCAAATGTTTTAGTGTAGTGAACACTGTTTACCTTTTGTTGTCATAATGCTGAAAGATGTGTCGTTGTTTATTCTTGTAATTGATAACTGTTTATCATTACTCGACCCCGTTCCCACCCCGCTTATAGCGGTGTGTCCTTTACAGAATAAAGAGCACCAACTCTACTCCTCAGGCTGCCATTGTCATCTGTATTGTTCGAGGTCTACCCCCACTCATTCCGGCTACCCGTCACAATCTACCACCCCCTTACAGACTGTCAACATCTTGTTGTATTGCCTTATAAATCATGTTTGGGGTCACGATGCGTGTATGTAAGAAATGACCACATCCACTAGGCTATTGAAATTCCTAAGAGTGAATTTCTTGAAAGTCATTGTGATCGTCAGTTACTGAATGGATAAACACTGGAGATATTAGCTTTTATGATGTTCTGTAAGAGACAATTTACTAGATGTCCTAAGTTTCTGCATCGAGACAGTTCATCAGTTTGGGTACATTTGGTGAATGTAGTTTAAAATAAATCATCATCATGGCTGTACCGTTCCATGTAGTTATGAAGTAGCAATCTGTAGGTTCCTCAGTGGTAAACATGTCTTGTATGAAGGAGTTACCCCACGCCACCCCCACTGCAAGGAGTCGTAAGAGGGTGATGGTATCGAGGTAAGGAATGGGGTTAGTCGGGCTGGCTGGATAGAAATGTAAGCCAGACAAACACATTGACGGATAGAAACATGAGTTGAACAAACACAAATAGAGGAAGGCAATTAAAGTCTGAAACCTCCTGTACAAGAGGGAGTTGTTCTGAAGATGATGGAGTGGAGAGATATTATGTTTACACCGGCTAGGGCAGGGA